TAAGAATTCATAAAAATGTGTTTGGAATTAAGAAATTCATATTGATACATGATTTCTTCACTTTCCATGAAAATATGTTTCGGTTACAAGCAGCTTAATTTAGATAAAAATGAGTTTTGATAACAATTCAAAAAATAACTATTGTAAACATGTATCATAGATGATTATATCTCTAAAGTTTGATCTCTGATTTATGTTTGACTGATCAAATATTTTGATATATTATATTTGGTTTTTCTTTAATGTAAAAACAATTTGCATCCTGTAGTTAATCTCGTTCTCCGAAATTGTGCTCTTTCGACAAACATCAAAAACAAACAAGACGATGATTTTATTTCTCCTTATACTTAGCTTCTATCTCATTAATAGTATGATTCGCTATTAATGTATAACCTATTCTCAAAATAAGTATTCCTATTTTTATTTCTGTTTTTCTGACAGCTTATGTGATAAAAGAATAACTAATATCAAAACGAAATAGTCTTTCACAGAGACATGAAAACTCAATTAAGATTTCAGTGAGTTTTCTAGTTTATCACAACAGCATTAGATATTGTGATGACAGCATGTTTAATCTAAGAGTTCAAAAAATTATTATTTGCTTTCAAACTATTTATTATCCGTTTCAAAATAGAATGTCCGTCGCTGTTTTTTGAATATCTCAAGTCAGGAACAAGCTAGAGACCTGCGGTTTTCACCAGTCAAAAGAGGAGACTAAGGGACATCTTTCTCTCCGATAATGTGTAAGAGAAATTCCTTTTAAAACTAATTATTCTCGAAAAATATGTAAAAGAAGGGATGAAAATTACCTGTCATCTAGATAAAAGTTTGATTTTGACCTTAGATTTAGATAGAGGGACTTCAGATCTATAGGTCTAGATATAATACGCTTCCTTTCTTTTCATCACATTTCCATCGCAATGTCGAGCTATTATGATAAAAAGTGAGAAAGTTTAGTAAAAAATTAGCAAAAATTCCTATTATTTGCGCATATAAATATATGATGCGATATGCTCAATGTTGGAATGCAATAAGAGAACCATTTGCATTGTATCTTGAACTATGGATCTGAAGTCTCTCTATCTAAATCAAAGGTTAAAATCAAATGTTTATCTAGATGACAGGTAATTTTCATCCCTTCTTTTACATGTTTTTCGAGAATAATTAGTTTTAAAAGGAATTTCTCTTACACATTATGGGAGAGAAATATGTCCCTTAGTCTCCTCTTTTGATTGGTGAAAATCGCAGGTCTCTAGCTTGTTCCTGACTTGAGACATTCAAAAAACAGCGACGGACATTCTATTTTGAAACGGATAATAGTTTCACGAATTTCTATACAAGGAATATTACTATGCTTATGAATTGCTTTATCTTGTTCACTTAGTTAGAAGTATTCAACCCATGTAACCATGAAACGCATTATAGACGCGTTTAAACGCGTTTTCGATTGAAGCAGACTCCAAATGCACTGAAATGTATCTATAGTACTAGTGTGTAAACGTGTTGCGAACGACTACATGTGTTCAAATGCGTTTATTAAATAAGATGCATCCAAACGGGTTTAGATTAGTTATGGGACGCGTTTCAAGGCGTACAATGTCGATTTTACATTCAGATTCGTTCATAATTTCCAACAAAATTAAATTGAACACGTTCGAGCGCTGCCTATCGACAACACGCGATTACATGAGTTAATTCTATACGCTTGTTGATGCTCTTGGGTTCCATTTATGCGTCTAAATGCAGCCTGATTCGTTCTTTGCATAGATAAGATGGATTTAAGCATGTTTCTAGTCATGCGTGCATGTGATGCCATCTAAAATGCAGGCTGTTTCATCAGAATAAATATCGATAGACCTCATATTATGAACGAAGCTACCCGATTTTCATTGAAAATTAGTTTCAGAATTCTCTAATAAGTTATTAAGACGATGCATCAAAATCCTATTGCATCTATTATTCTTAAAAATGACTACTCCTTATAATCTAGAATTTTAAATGTAGCCTACTAGTGTTGCGTGAAATATATAAGCATACAGCTATACGCCGAAGAACTTCAGTATGTCTGTGTCCGTCTTACTAATTCTGGAGGATACACTTCGTCCGAAGAAGAATTAAACGGAGATAAGGTCAAACTAAGTACTCTATACTACAAACCGCCTCTTCTTATTAGATTAGGAATAATTGGACGATGTTCTTTTTACTGCTCATATAACTCTTTTTAGACGTTTACGCGTCTCTGTGCGTTCATAAACAATTCACTTCATGCACTTGAACGCGTTCAAAAAACTATATACGTCTAAGCTCGTGCATGTTGAAGACAGAGTACGACTCGCTTTCTAGTGGTCGTGTATGGGCGTTTTAACTTTATTCCCTAAAAAAGTTATAAAATTCCGATCACTTTATGTCGTTGTAGAACTGAATTCTGGTATTCATGCTTCATTGCTACTATGAAGCTTTAACGAAGTTGTGCTTACTCTAATAAGTTAACTAAGTTCCATGAGTATCTCTGTCATATTCACTTTTTATTTACACATTATTTATTGAAAATATTGAAGTGTTGAAAAAACTTTATGCTTTATGCTACCGCATTTTCAAAATGGCTCAATAATGCGCAAACGATCTACTGCTATATTAAGATTTTCATTCTTGAGTTCATCATCTGTTTCCTATATCAAAAAATAATTCCCATGAATTTTATTTTTATTTTCAACTATTTGATTTATCTAAAGTTTAACAAAATAGTTTTTCAAATGGGAATGTTACTCTATCTCTATTCTTCTTCACAATAAAGAATACGAGTCTAGATGAAAGTTTTTCATTTTACCAGATTAAGATTCATTCGGAAAAGAAAATCTTCATTATTTGAAAAAATAACGATAAGTAATTTTTTGAGTTATAAAAAAACGTAAATGAACACTTAATTTGTAAAAAATCACATTCAGAAAATAATAATTTTTTCTATGAAGACCTAATCTTCTATTTTCTCTAAATTTCTAAAAATTGTAATGGCATAGTTACAAATATGTAGATATATATAAGATTTTTTCCATATGTTTTCATGCAGCGTTGTCAGCTTTCAATAACATTGTATATTCTGTTATTAGCGAAAAGAAGAAAATATTTGATTTTGTTACACAACGAATTTTTTGTTTATTTATCAAAGAGAGAGAGCTTTATTTATTCTTTAATTTTTCTTCAGCATGTAGATAATAAAATTTTAATTTTTTAAATTTTTTGTTTATAATCATAAAGAATACATTTATTTTAATTTTATGAATATATCTTATTGATATTCGTTTACGAAGTGAAAATAAATCAGCATCATTATTCTTAGAACTATCCGCAGAAATTCACAAAGTTAGTCTTTCAGTTTATGAACATATAAATAATTTCGAGCCGTGTATAGCTCAGCGCTACTTATGCTTGGCTTGTAATCGATGGTCGTGTGTTCAAATCTTCGTTCAAACTATCGTTGGAAGAATTTCCACTCTGTTGCTCACGGTATTTGAGTGTTATATCATAGTTTGTTATAGTGCGTCGGTTCGAATCCGACACAGAGTGATGATTATTTTTTAACTTTTTCGAGAATAAAGTAAACGCATCCAGATGCGCTCATTTTTCTGAACGCGTCTCCACGCTTGAAAATATTGCATTTTGAACGCATACAAACGTGTTCCTATATGTAAACCAGTTGTCATGCTCTTGTAATTCAAACGCGTGCAGATGCATTTCTTTAATCTGAACGCGTTTGGACACCCGAAAATGTTGCATTTTGGACGCGTACAAACGCATTAAGTGCTCTTGCATTAAACGCTCAGAAACGCGTTGGAAACTTAAAAATGGTTCTCATTAATGAGAAATGTATGCAGCAGTGATATGATACAAAATATCTTCACTGTCTGAGTGACGAACGCACATATAGATCCTTATTTTTTTTCAAAAAAGTATCCTGAGAAATTGATGCGTTGATAAAATAATTTCGATATCGTTGACATCATCCTCTTAGAATTCAATCGAATTGATCACTTACGTACCGAATAAAAATATTTCTCTTATAGATTCTATTTACGCAACGAAAAGAAAAAATTTTCGAAGCTTCATTTCATGCATTTTTATACTAGATTTTGAGGAACAAACAGCAATTATGAACTTTTATGCATACAATGTAGGTTTTATTGATGAATAATATGATATATTACGGCTAATTCTATATGTATATATATATGATCGGTATAGATAAAGAAAGAAATTGTATCCAGTAGTGAACAATTTAGATCATTTTATGAAAATAGTATCTCATCATATTTCCTATCAAACGAACTTTTCTGAGAAAACAAATACTGAGAATTCATCATCGATTATATGACTATTCAACGTAGACAGTGAGGACCAAAAGTCGCCTTGTAGTTTTTGACTGTGAATAACTTTTGATAAAAACACTTTCTGCATCAAATATAAGTCTGTAAAAGCTTTAATTAGAAAAACAAAGTGCTTCGTCAAGTATATTGACCTGATAACATAATCAATATGTTTATTTTCAAAGTTTGTGCAGAAAAATCATTATCTATTCACTTGATTTCGTTCTACAGTCTTGTAAAATAATTTCTTCTGAGTATATTTGAAAAGAAGAATAAAATATTCCTAAAAAGTCAGCCATAAACAAAACCAAGTCTTGATAAGGAACGTGATATATAAGTGTTTTGATGCTATACAACCAATTTTGGGCCATAAAATCATTCAATTTTATTTCCTCTTTCGATTGACTATGAAAAAGACTGAATTGAGCAATGACGAATGAATGATTATTGCGAATCAAAATTGAACTTGATGAGCGGATTTTTTATTCAAGAGTAGAGTTGACAAAAAAAGGTATGCAAAAGATGATATAGACAAAAGAAGCTAAAAGAGTGATCGATACATATAATGTTTGATGTTCATTGATCGGTTACGCATAATGAAGCTAGTGTCGCTGCACTAGGTTAGGCTTTCCTTCTTGGTTAAGCTTCAGGGTTACCAGTTGTGGTAGTCGTAGTAGCAGTCGTTGTGGTAGTTGTAGTATCAGTCGTTGTGGTAGTCGCAGTAGCAGTCGTTGTGGTAGTTGTAGTATCAGTCGTAGTAGTAGTCGTTGTGGTAGTCGTAGTAGCAGTCGTTGTGGTAGTCGTAGTGGTAGTCGTTGTTGTAGCTGTAGTAGCAGTCGTTGCCGCAGTCGAAGTTGTAGTTATCGTACTTAATGGGCCAGTAATAGAAGATATTTGGCCATTAAGTGTGTCTATTTTTTGGTTGAGATCATCGAGTCGTTTGTTCAGAGTGCCAAGAGTAGCAGCAGCAAGTGCAAAAGTAATTATTCCAAACAAACCAATTATACCCAATGCAATTAGGATACGTATACCGCTCTGTTCTCCTAAAGCCATTAATGATTGACTGCTTGATTGTTCTTTAAACCGAAAAGAATAATCAATAAAATCTGGAAATAACTATGGCTTGTCGAATAGTGTTATTGGCAAATACGATATCAATACAATGTACACTGCTTTATATAATCGAAAATCTATGACGACATTGAGTGGGTTTACTGGTAAAACAGAGCAACAATTTCTTTTCTTTCTGATTTTTTTTTTAAAGACAAAATATTCAGTTTGCACAGATTAAAGCATAGTCTGTAAAAATTATATTATTACTAATTTTTTTCATAGAAGTATCATGTTTCAAGTAAAACCTATGACGATAGCTCGTATTTTTTTCTCCAATATGCTTATGATCAACTAGAAAGTATTAAGTTGAATTTACATTTAGCCTTTCACAAGTAGATGAATATCATATGTTTCTTGTACGCAACATGTGCACCCGTTTTCAAAAGAGTTTTCGTTACGTTTTTTCTTTCTGACATTTATATTTGAAAGTACAGATTATTAAAATATAGATTTTTGGTTGTAACAATGCTGTATGATAAATTGTTTCAATTATTATAAGGTCGAGAATAATGTTGAACTCAATTAAAAATGTTATAGATAAGTAAATTGCTTGTTGTTCTGTAACAATTGACGTCTAGACAACGGCCAAGATCACATATTAAACTATATGAGTCGTATATTCTTTTTTTCTTTCATTTCACTTTCATGTTATGACATTAATGAAACACAAACATCATTGTTTATAGAAGCATCGTTTTCGATCAGTAAAGTAATACACAAATGATCAGTGTAAATATTGAATAGTCAGTTTCTTTTTATTTAAGTATCAGTAAAAATGCAGAATCCATCAGCAGAAGGTATAAGTTTTATTCATATAAAGATTAATTTAGCATAAGACAATTAAATTTTCATAAATAAAAAGAATATAAAATAGATAGGAAGAAATTTAAAAGAAGTAAAATGAAAATTAAATTATTATACCAGCAAAATGGGTTTAGCCTTTGTTTATTTACCTCGTTTTTCTTTTCCTCGCGGTCGAGCTTGTGTTTGGATACTGGTGGTTATTTTCAATATTTCAAATGCATAACTATATCAACAATATGTTCGTATATATAACTTTAAAAAAAAATTGAGCAGTTACATTGTGATTTTTTCCAATCTTTATCATTCTTCAATTCTATATAACAAATATCAAATGATCTTTTTTAAATTGATTAACAGTTGTCCGCGTTCTATTGTTATATTTATTCAAATTGGCTTGTGTAATCGATTGTAAATCACGAACTGATACATAATATGTTTTTGACGAACTATTTGAAATATGAATTATATCTTTTGTTAATTTAGCTAGCTGATACGATAAAGTCCATGATCCAAAAATATTGTCGATATTTTAGTATATATTTTTGCATTAAATGAGGCACCATCTCGTATAATTGAACTATTCATTATCAAAATAATTTAAAAAATCTACTACTGATTAATTTTTTTCACTTAATACTCATATTTCACTTAGTAAATAATATTGATACTAATTTTTAAATGTATTAATAAATTTAATTATTTTCACAACGAACCATTTAAATATTTTACTAATCATTTCTTTATTCTACTGATCACTTAGATGATAGGCATTGTTTATCACGTATACATGAGCTAAGTTTATGTGAGAAAAAAAAAATCTGTCTCATAGACTTAATTGTGTCGACAATTTTCTTTTGTAACTTTTATCATTTTAACAAATATTTTTCATTCGAAATAATAGTATATTTAGTTAGATATTTACTTCATAAAACTTACATAAATTGAATATTAATAGACTATAAAGCATGTTTTTATCAATAATGACGAAGAAAAAAAGATGAAGAAATCAACACACTTTTATCATTTAACAAGTTTATACACAATTTGCTAATCTTTCTTTTGTCTGTAATTTTGTTGACTTTGATATTTAGTTCATGAACGAGTGATGTATAGAATCGCTCAAATTGGTTTCGACTCTGAGAAACTCTATTGATGACAAATAAATGATTACTAATGTCATTTTCCTTTTTCATGATTTTTCATCGAGCTAAATCATATAAGTCTGCAATATTGATGTAGAGAATGTGAAGTTACAATTCCATCATTTGAACAAGCTGATGTCTTTCCAAATGAAATGTACTGATTTTCCAACTTCTATTCATATTTATATTGTTCTCTATCAAGATTGCCGAGTATCATGTGATTTTACATAATGTACAGGAGATTATTAGCTTGGTAAACGTTTGAAATCGATCGAAATGATGAAAAAATAATGGTCGATAAAAACTTAAATCAAGATATTAATGTTTTTCAACTAATGAACGTATATGAGCTTTCGAAATGTTTATGAATATATCAAACCAATGTCGAGGAGTAACAAAAAGAATTCCAAAACAGATTAATTGTTGTTCCGATCCAAATATGTATCATAGCGTATTTAGTTTCGCAAATTACCTCTTCGTTTCTATTAAGTCCTATTCTTCTTGTGTATTTAAGTAAACTGTATGAGTACTATTATTCAAGGACAGACTATTATTTCTGGTGATGTAGAAGAAAAAATTCCATTTACAAGTAGTCTAAACATTCTAAGACGTACTTCAGTATCAATGAATATCCAAAAACTGACAAATAAAAAAAACTTCTGCACAGTTTTATGCTGAACAAAATAAAAACAAACGGAATGTTTACGATTTTTTTGCTCTTACATTTATATTACCGAAGAAAGGTAAGAAGATGCATTTATGATTGTGAACACTATGGCAGCAAGTGCATTGTCTTAACTACTATGACTGGTGGAATTGTGAGAGAAATGACGATCGTTTCTCATTATCTCAAGAATTTATCTTAGTAGTCTTGATAGTTGCTCGAGACTTTTGTGAATTCATGTTTCTTAGTTCTTGAACATTGTTCTTTAAGGATCAGTTATGAAAATTTTCGATATAGATTATGAAGAGTGAAGAAGGCATTCATATAGTAGAAATGATGATATTTGATAAGAATTCATAAAAATGTGTTTGGAATTAAGAAATTCATATTGATACATGATTTCTTCACTTTCCATGAAAATATGTTTCGGTTACAAGCAGCTTAATTTAGATAAAAATGAGTTTTGATAACAATTCAAAAAATAACTATTGTAAACATGTATCATAGATGATTATATCTCTAAAGTTTGATCTCTGATTTATGTTTGACTGATCAAATATTTTGATATATTATATTTGGTTTTTCTTTAATGTAAAAACAATTTGCATCCTGTAGTTAATCTCGTTCTCCGAAATTGTGCTCTTTCGACAAACATCAAAAACAAACAAGACGATGATTTTATTTCTCCTTATACTTAGCTTCTATCTCATTAATAGTATGATTCGCTATTAATGTATAA